AAGTGTTTGATAATATCATAATTTGCAAAGGGCCTTATACATACAAGCATATTTTACGAGTTTTGATGTTATCTAAATGATTGTGGAATTGCAGGAACCACAGACATATGATTGAAAATTGTGCATATGAAATAGTATAAGCAGCTTCACTGTCCTTTGTATGTTCTTGACTGTATTACAAACCCTTTATGGAAATCAAACTTGATCTTCCAAGTGCTCTTTTGTATGGGAGGTAAAAATATAGTGCAGTATTCAGTAGAGTCTGTTTGTTACTTAAAACTAAAGCAACTGGTTTGATGATCTTGAACTTCTATCATTATTTTAAGATTGGCCAGCTTTATTACTGTTTTATCTTATAAAAAACATCTTGGTTTCTAAGGTTATCTTTTTAATAAGCAGACGTCTGTTAGAAAACATATGCTGTGTGTTGAAGTCCTGGTAATTAGTAAAAAAACATACACAAATACACAGGTATGGTCAGATGGTATTTTACCTGCAGGAATATGTGATCTGCTGGGAATTTGGTCTTTGATTTGTACCAGGCTGTAAATTTGATTTGTGAAAGTGACTGTTGAACTGAACTGGGGTCTTATTCTCGAAGACTTAACTTAAAATATAATCTAGATTTGAAGAAGCATAGTTATTTGATTGGATAATGAAACTAAATTTAATATCAATTTTAGTGATTGACCAATCAAATGGCTGGACCTATGTTTTGGAGAAGAAGGCCACTGTACAGTTCCAAAACAGAGAAGCCAGCTGGTGGCTTCTGACACTGCTCTCACATGTTTTAAAAATGATGATGACAAGTTTTCTTCCAGAATTTAGATCAAAGCAATACACCCCAGACCTCCAGAAATGTTATAAGTCATTGTGGTTATCTTATGAGTAGATGAGCTGTTAAGAAACAAAGCTAAATTCCATCAAGCTTTTTAAAAATCTGATGAAAATATGTTATTGTGTCTTGATGCATTATTTTCCAACAGATTTTGTATATAATATTCAAGATTGTTAAGCAACACTGATAGAGTATGCTTACATTCTCTACATACCATAATACTTATCTGAGATATTATTATAGACAATATATATAAAATATAAATATGATAGGTTGATAGGTTAAGATAAGGTACAATCAGTAGATGATTGTTATAATCAGTGGAGTGTACAATGGTTATTACTGATGAGATAGTTTATCCGACTACAACATACTAACATCTTGATAATATTTTATCAATCTGTTTACAAGTACAGGATCTACTGTCTACAAGCTCTTTACACTTCATTTAAGAAAGCCTTTGTACTTTGAATGACAGAAGATGAAAACATTCAGTTCCAGGCTTTGATTCCTGCAATTTTTGATGGTAATGCTTTAATGTCAGAAATATGACCAAAAATAGTTACCTTCATGCAATCAATATTTTTAAAATTTTCAATTGGGCCATAAGTTAGCTTCATTTGACAATTTTTTTCATCTTAACTAGTTGCTTAGTCTTTAGATAATTGACAATTCCAACAATCACATGAAAGCATGTTGGTTTCACAATGCCCTAGGTTATTGAAGAAGGTAAAGTTTGTTTCATTATGCACAATTAATTTTAGTTAGCCCCATTGGAAAGTTTCAAACCTCTGAAAAATTGGTAGATTGTATGCAAAATTTGGTTTACTCCAAACCATGCACTTTCTTCGTGTTATCAAGTACATTTCCATCATGATTCGTTGATAACTTCGTGTATTTGAAATTAAAAATAATTTATCATTGGTAATTGAAATTCTATGACACAATGGGCATGTTTTTTTTTATAAATCAGATGATAAAGTGTTAAGATGTTATCACTATAGCCTCAAGCAAATTTCAACATATTTTTAATACATTTTTAACTGGTTTGACAATCTCAGTAATTATTTGATGAAATTGTATAGAGCTTTCAGGTTTTAGTGATGGACTTGTTATTTTTGGTCTAAATTTGGTCAATATTTGATGTATTTTGGCCTAGAGCCGTGAAAAGTTTTATTTATGATTTAACTATGATCGAGTAAATAATTTCATGGCATTCAAATTGTGAATGGTTTTGATTGTCCAGGAAAATAATTGTGATGAAGAAATTGATTTTGATTGCGTCTGCAGGATTTTCAGTGATTCTAATGTCACAATGGTATCTAGAGTGAGGTTTTTCAGTATTGGCTCCACATAATTCAAGTTTTTATGGTCCGTGGCATGGAAATGTGACTTGTTACGTTTAAGTGAACAGAAGTTACAGGAATAAAAGGTCAAGAATGTCAACTTTCAAAGTACAATTATGTTCAATTGCAGGAGAACTGTACATTAAATTGTAATTCTGGAAAGTGGTACAGATTTGCCAATTTGATTGGTCAATTTTGTTGTAGTCAATAATTTTTTGAAGAGTTTTTCTAAAAATTTGTATGTGTATATATTTGGGACACTGAAAGCATAAATTTGCCAATATGAATTTGCAATAAGAAGTCTGTGGTTTCTGCACGTTTGATGACGTCATTAATCCCAAAATATGCTTTACCATAAAGGCCTTCGCAATTGGTGACATCATCAAACACTTACATTAAATGGAATTGCAGGAACCACAGATGTCTGATTGAAAATCAGAATGGTGTAAATTGATGCTCTCAGTGTCCCCTATACACATTTTTAGATAACCGCTTTACAATTATTTTTAGTGAGTAATATTCTGATAGTAAGCTGAGGTGGGTGACAAATGAGGTTTTATCATGCAATCTATGAATTACTATCATCATTATACAATAGTCAGCATCAAACAGACCTAATGCCAGAATAACAGAAACAATAGCATGTAGCAGACACATCAAATATTCAAATTCTTGATGAACAGTTTTTGGAGAATTGATTGAATTAACAAAAAGATCAGTTGTTGTGAAGCAGCTTTTCTTATAGCACAAGCTAAGGCATCAATGACATTAGTTTACTATGAACTATGGTGATATTGTGCCTTCTATCAGTGATCACTACGGATAAGATTTAATAGATACATTACATAGATACCCCAGAGGACATAACATCAACATGCAATATCACATTTGTTCACAGAAGTTTTCATAATTCTTTCGAAAAGTTGGAGGAGGCTGAAAAGTAGAACGTTTTTTAAAAGTACTTAAAATGGGATCTTTAAATGTTGGCAAAAAAAGGACAAATTATGATTTCGATTTTGAATTTTGATGACTATTTCTTTAACAATTAAATTAGTATATATTTCAACAAAGAGTTAAAGCAAATCTAATCATAAGAAAGGGTCATGAAAGTCTAAGGAGAATTCATAAGTATTGCATAATAATGCTTATTTGAATATACTTATCCATGTACTAAATTACTTATATATACTGGTAATTCTATCATAGATTTAGTTTTTATGACAAGTAGACTTGTGTTATTCTTCACATAATATATTTATTCAGACGTCAATGTTTGTCTACCTACCTACATACTTGAGTGTAAATATATATGTGTGAAAGTGAATTGGATTGTGATGCTTTTTCGTGCATCCTTTGCAATATTTCTGCAGAATACTTTAACTGTGGTACTCTATTAGCCGAATTGAGAATAAAAAAGCTTCTGATCTGTGCATCGTTAATAGATTACTATTTTCATGGATAAGGAATTTTGATTTGTGTTTCTTATGAAGGATATAATTATGTTCCAATAGTTTTGTCTGTTTATGGATTATTATTTTTGACCAATGTATTTTGCTGTTGTATCCTCTCCTGCAGATGATTTGGTGAGTTCACATATATATTTCAATTACTAGATTATCTGATGAGTTATGTTTGTAAAATGTTTGGGTGTGTCTTGGTATCACTGCATCTATTCCACAATAACATCTGTTAAACTTTGATGTTATCATTGTAACAAATTTTAGTGTGTGAAGGATTTCGTGGACCAAACTGAAAATTTTGAAGTATAAATCTATTAAATCATGTAAAAGTTTCACAAAAAGTCATATGGTAAAAAATTGCCATAAGTGCACATTTTCATTCGTCATCTTTCTGACTCTTCCCACTACTGAATTACTCTTACAAAACTTTTGATTCTCAATTTCAATGGATTGACTCATCAGGAAGTATTTTTGTTTTGTGCTTTGATTGGTCTTGACCCCAAAATTCTCTCAGAAATGGCCCAATCAGTGTAACATCAGTATGAGAAATTACCGCCCAATTCCAACCAACCAAAAGTATATTGGCAATTGATCTTTTAAAGATCTAACTAATTTGATTCAGGGACATTTTTTTTTGGGACAAGGGATAAGGGATAAGCACTCCTCTGAAAGATAAAGCGAATTTGAAATAATGAGCCCTACAAACAATATTTCATTTTTCTGTTCAAATAGTTGCTAAAATATCTGTGTCTATGTCAATCAAATACATGGCTGATAAAATCTTTAATCATAACTTCATAACCTAAATTTATACTTCTATTGAATAAGGTTTTATATTAAGGTTAGATTGAATAAGTAGTGGTATTCAGATATAATAACACTGAATAATGAAGGTTACACCTCATTTCATTTCTAAATTAACTTATATTTAAAGTAGAATATGTAGTAGATTTGGAGTGTTTAAAAACCACTTAAAAATTTAAAGAATTTCTTGTATAGAAATCCGACATTTTTCCCTTGGTGTTTTTTTATACTTCAGTTATGTTCATACCTTTATTTATCTAGTAAACCAATTGCATCATTCATTGTAAAGACATGCCTCAACCAATATGAAGATCTGTGAACCCTACTAACTCAACGCTTCCCTTTTTGTGGCAGTGGAATTCCTCAGTTGGTTGCCCAACTCGATTGTTGGCATAGTGCATGGATTGAAATCCACCTTAAAAAAACAATGATTATGATGCCAATGTCAATGCTTTTGTCAGCCATTTGAATATTATTTTGATGTTAAATTACTTTCATTCAACTATTCAATTTTGTATTTGCTACAAAGTAGACCATGATCAAATTGCAACAATGGCGATTTTAGACTCCCAGGTACCATCTAGCCAGAAATCTAGTTGCTTTAAGATTCTACCGGTTGCAAAGTTAATATGAGCTCACTTTAAGAATGTAAAAGTACATGTAGCTACTGTTTTTACAACATTCTCATCTAATGTTATAAATTCTTCATGCTCTAATGAATGAAACAGACACTACTGTTATAGTACTTATAGTATAGTAAATATTAATCTCTGCCATTCCTGATTTTCATGGTACTACAAAGTAAATATTAGTCTCTGCCATTCCTGATTTGGTACTTGGTACTACATAGTGAATATTAAACTCTGGCATTTTCGAGTCTTTTGATACATAGTACCTTCAATGTCAAATAATACTAACAAACAGTATTTCAAGAAAACTTAGCGACTCATCCTTGCTTTTGATGACTGCTCACAAACCACAATATTCTTGGCATTGGTTTATCATTTTTGTTTACTCTTGGCATTGATGCATCTTGATATGTTGATGGAATGAAAATAAACAATAGGAAAAACTTGATCCCTTGGAAGTTGGAAATTTGAAAATAGTGTGATAATTCCACTCTCTTGACAGAAATTGTCTTCATAGCAGCATTCTGTAGTCTGTCATCACTAACAAAGGAGCACAGAACTATGTAAAACTGTATTACATTTGAAGGTATATGTGTGGGTTCAAAACCTGCTGAGAGTGTACATAATAATTTGATAAATTAGTTCAAAGTTAAACATTCAGGTATAATTTCAACTTGAAATATATTGAGTTATCAGAGACAGACTGACTCGTGCCAACACTTAAAACAGATGGATATCTTTTTAGTGTAATTGATATGATGTAAGAAGTGGTAGCGTTCACCAAACCTTACTATATAGTATACTTCTTACAAGTTAAAACAATAAATGTACCTATTACTGATATCTGTCTGCCTTCTTATAAATAATTTAGATGTAATTAATGTCTTAGATTATCTTAGTATTATACTTTAAGTACATTTTTGGTATCATTAGTACATACCATTTCTATATATGTAACTATTTAAAGGGACAAGTGTACCATTTTAGGGAGTTGATTTTGATCTTGAATATATGTAAATAGTTTTCAAAAGTACTAGAAAAGTTAGAAAATCGCATAGTTCCTTCAAAGATATCTCAAACTAGGAATTTTACTTTCTGTTTCTATATGTCTTTTCTATATATCACAGAGTATCTTAAATGACGAGTCCTCATTTTAACATTCAAATGCAGATAATTCTGGACACACATGTATTTGAAGGCTCCAATTTCGATCGTGAGTTGTGAACACTATTACTGATAGGCTTAGCTAAAAAATTCCTGTTTTTGAGACTAAAGTATGGTTGGTCAAATAAAATGGTGCATCTCTACCTTTAAGACTCTTTTTACTATCATACTTTTACAATATAACCTGTATACAGTAGGCCTATTGGGTATCTAGTAACTACCTTATCAGGAACCAGAAACCACATAATCATTTGACTTATCTCATCCTTATAAGTCTAGCCACACCACAATGTGGGATATTTTGATTGAAAAAAAACCCAGTTTAAATCTATTAAACTTACCAGTAAATACAACCAAAATCCGATTAGTATTTTCATGTGATAAGTTAAAAGTGCAACATAAATTAAGTCACTTAAAGGAACACCTTCACTATCTGTTCGACCAATCATACCTTAGTTTCAGAAACAGGAATTTTTTAAGCTTACATAATCAGTAATAGTGTTCACAGCTCATCGTCGAAATTTGGGCCTTCAAATCCATGTGTATCCATAATTATTCACCTTTGAAAGTTAAAAATTCGAATTTTAGTGAAACTATGCGATATATAGAAAACACATTTAATAGGAATAGATAGTGGAATTTCTAATTTGGGGTATATTTGAAGGGATTATGTGATTTCCGTGCATTTTAGCACTTCTTAAGACTATTAAAACACTATAAAGACCCAAATCAATCCCCGAAAATGCCGACTGTTCCCCTTTCATTGAAACCATGGTAATGTTATAAGTTAATCAGACATGTTTTTCCAGAAAGATCTTCACTTGTGCAGCTTACAGCATATAAGTTCCATATTTTACTCATGCTTATCAAATATTTCTTGTATATTTTAGGTAATCATTAAAGTATATATTGAAGATGTAGGACAGCATTATGTAGAAGTACCCATAACACCTAATACTTCCTGTCAAGATGTTGTTGATTGTACTAAAGAACCTGGTAGAGAATCAGGATATATTGTGGTCATTAAACAGGGTACAGGTTAGTTGATTTTGTCTTATGGCTTCATTAGCCCAATTAGGTGCATGTATGAGGAGGGGGGGACTCGAAAGTGTATCTTTTCAGATCAAGTGACGCTGATATAGTTGAAACACCCATGCCTCCCTCCAGAGAAAGTGCCTCTGGTTCTAATTTCAAAATCTTGAATCATTCAATGGTCAGTTGATCTGAAAAGAAACAATGCCATTAGTATCAGGAATTGTTGAATTTAATTTATACCAAGTTTCATTCCTGTGGTATAACTACTTATGAGTTAATCACTGCACCCCCTTAATACAATTCCATTGCTCAAATTGGCCAATGGTGGTTTATTTGGATTTTGTTCAATAACAATTTGACACGCAACATTTTGAAACTGTAGCAGCTAAATTCTTATCTATAACAATATATTTCTGTGAATACAATAAAATTAAATATTCACTGTGAATATGTGAAATATCTATAAAAATTATAAGACCAAATATTCAAATTTAAACAATTTAATACAACTTTACAGAAAATTTGTGTGGTTATTTTCTGCATACTATTAATAAAACAACATCCGGGTCATTCTTCGAGAAACCCGCCAAGGCTGTTAAACACATAATTTTGCAGTTTTTAAACTACCCCCCACCTCCCCTTGCCTCCCTCCTCTTTTTTACTTATTATAATTTTGATTCAATTTGTTTCTATAAATGCTTTAGTGAATTTGAATCCTGTTGGGCGTATTTTATCATTATTGTGTTTAGTCCAATAGGAATATGAGCATTATTAGATATTTGAGTTGTTTTATGTAGTGTAAGTTTTACACCAATATTTTATGTTTCTCATATTCTTGTGGTCATGCAAAATAAATGACATTTCACACCATCAAATTGTTCTGATATGTTTGACGGATGTGGGGAGTTGGGTGGAGGACACAAACAACTTTACAGAAAATTTTGTAAAATGAAGATGTTTTATATATTTCAGAACATATTTTATCATATAATGATAATATTTATAGTTTATTACAATTACAAGGTAAAGAAAAAGAAAATTTAGTATTTGTACTACATTATGGTAGTGTTATATATCAAGATGATATGGCAGATTTACCATCAAGTAAGTTTGAAGTACTGATAATTATTTTATTATATATTGAATATATTACTGTAACTTTATGATAAGTAAATATAAGAAGTCAAGTTTTTTTAAAATTTCTATGTGTTATCTAGAAAATGCATGTGGCGAGAGCCTTTATCCGGTCTAAAGAGAGGGGAGAGGGAGGCTATTGATGACATAATACAGACATTTATGCGAGTGAGAAATTTATTTTAGAAAACTTTAATGATAATCATCTATATAAAATTATCAACCATGAATGGTTGTCATGAACGGCTTACAGCGAATGACATCATAATTCTTGAGCAAAGGGTTGTTCTGAAGATTAAGAAAGCCAAATGATTTTTATTTTAGGGTCCTAAAAAAAAAGTTTTGGGCCCTATATTTGTAAATCGTCGCACAACAAAACCATATGATACTTCAAAAGGTTAAAATCTGTGAATTAAAATTCATGAAATTCCTAATGTAACCGAAATTTCACTATGTAACCGTTAGTGGTAACAATGTATATAATATAAACAAGGTTAGGTTAAAGAGTTCTTTATAGAATGAATAATGACCCATTGTTTTCTTTTATTTATATTGGACTTAAAAATAATTACTTAGTTTGTTTTCACTCAACTCAACATATACTATCTTTATTTCTGAAGATCTATCTGTTTATAGTCTATCTTTATCTAGATGTTTAATGACTGCGAGGTGTTGGTTCTGGGTGGTTAATGTCTTATGAACTGCGCTCTTTCTTTTGTCACATTCTTTGAAATTTAATGATCATTACATTAGATCATTCTTTTCTGCTTCCAATGAAGCTATCAAAGATGGAAATGCCTTACAGTTTGCAATGGGGAAAATCTTCCTTTAAAATAACATTTATATTGCTGACTGACTGTGCATTTTTGGTGGATAACTTCTCTCATCCTTGATCTGACAACATCCTTCAAGAATATGGTAACAACTTTGTGACTTAATCATCACTTAATTGTCACTAAAATTATTTTGGATAGTGTTTGTTAGATTTAACTCCCTTTATGTAGGTAAATATATTATAAAATAAATAAGTATATCACACAAGACGGTCAGTTGTGATAAAGGTGTGGAGATTTTCACCTTCAACAGACCTGAAATGAAGATCAATCAATATAGCAGGTTTCTCACGTTAATACATGTGTATATATGATTGATATCTACTTGTAAATATGATACGTATGATACATGATACATCTGATACATGATATTGGCTTGTGATATTATAATAAATGTTTGATTTATGATGGAAAGCAAGATGTATCTATTTCCATAAGATTTTCCATTTTCCTGAAAGTTTGATTGGTAAAAAAAAACAATATGAACTGAAAGTAGACTTGAAGGACTTTTAGAAGTTGGGAGTCACAAACACCAGCACGGAGGTTATGTGCTTAAAATTATTATATATATTTACAACAATGTGTGGTCCATTTCCGGAAGATATTTTACATATTGCTATACTTTCAAATACCCAAAGTATGTAAAAGAGTTTGGCAGAACTGTTTGGCTTCTGTTGGCAGGTACATTAAAAAGTTCTTCAAGATACCATCATTGAAACCATAAACTGAATAAAAAGATGACATAACATCCTATTCAAGCCCAGATGACTTTCTTTCAAAGGTTGAATTAATTCTGTACTAACCTCCTTGATATAAAAACTTGATTCAAAGTGACAGATGTAACATATAACTGGATTTGATTTTAAAACCACAAATATTTCTGGTTTGGTAACCTTGACGTCTGCTACATTAAGATTTTGTTTTTATGAATCAACAATACTGGTATCTCCCATCTTCTACTTTTAACTTTCTCAAAACAGGAGAGTTGTGGTGATTCAGCAAGTTAGACATAATGAAATCAGAGATTTGCTCCTGTTATAGATTGAGATAATACCTTCAACTTTTTCCCCTCTTGAAGAAGCATCTTGGAGGTTGGAAAATATTTTTCATGTTAGCCCTTGAAACACTGTGTATATTAAAATAAAACATCATATACCTTGAATTCCAAGTAATATAACAAAGTGTATGATGTTAACATTGTGCGGATGCAAGATCAGTATCTTTCAAAAATACTTTGATGGAACTGGAGATGTGACATAAATGGTGTAGGGAGAAAATGATGGTATGACTGAACTACAAAAATATTCATATTTTCAAATATATCTTGGTTTTGCAGATCCAAGGTATCTAAATAGGTTTAAAACCCCCACATCTACCGAGATGCAGAATGTCCCCATTTAACAGGGCCTATTTTTTCTGTCTCTACACTAGCTGACATCAGTCCAAATAGCTATTAGAGGCTGATAGGATGTAAAACTCACATTTCATTACCTAAATTTCTAAACGATGATCAAACTGCCTGACAACATATTCATTGAAGTATGACAGTAGTTTACTCATATCTTAAGGCAATTTCTCACTTTTTCATTCAGAAACTGAAGGTCAGTTAAATAGATAAACATGTAGTTTTATAAGTTGAAACTTTGTGTATCATTGGTTGACCGTTGACTGTATTAGTAAGATACTATTATCTGATGTATCATGGTTTTCGAAACAAACTTGTAATTTTGGTAAGTTTATACTTCTTAAGGATAATTCAAATTTGTTATTCTTTTGTACTAAGAATGATGCAGGTAAGAGGGACTGACATGGAAAAAGAGTCTAGTCGTTCGGATGGGACAATATACCAGGGCCCTGTGTGCTACAGACTGTGCACTTTAAAGATCCCTCGATATTTGGAAATCAAAATAGATCAGGTTAATGCCGCTGTCCTGGCAAAATTTCCTTCATTGCACCTGCATGGTGTTGCCTGTCTTCATTAGCCCACATGGTGCAGAAAAGTAGAACGTAAAACTCCATTCATTTCATTTTATTTCATTGTACTTCGAGTGGTTCAACGTTTCTAGATGTGTGGTGTAGTTTCACAACTAAACGTTTCTGTTTGTTTACTTCTCTCCTTTGAATTGTGCAATGAGGGACATTTTGTGAGGACTGGAGCAATAACCTACAGTGTCCAACTGTCGAGGTATCAAAAGGTACTATCTGTAGAAATATCTATTGGATAGAATCTCAATCTCAGAGAGTAGAAGGCACTATCCCACTGAGCAATCCTGTCTCTCAAATTCAGTATTACAATATTTTTATTTTGGTTTATTTTTAAGTAAAAGGAGTCAAAAACTATTTAAGTTTGAATTGAAATTTGAGAAAAGATATTTAGTGACACTGATCTTTTAATGTTCATGACAATTATCTTGACTACAGGCAGATCTCATTGGCATCTGATGATAAAACTCAGATAACAATTTGTTAATTTTCTTAATCGTGTTAATCCTTTCCATAGAGTGTTTGACCTTTGCCCTTTCAATGATAATACACTCAGCATTTCCATAGATATAGTATCTAATGTGGTTGTCTTAGTGGCTCCATACTTTTTACAAGGACTATTGGCTTTGATATATGTTTCCATTGAAATAATCCATCATGACCATCGGACTCATTTCATTTCTACCTCTTTGAGGCTTGTAAACTTGTTATGGTCATGGTACTTTTTCTGTCAGTTTACTCTTGGTGATCATTCATTCTGCAAGCTACATTGACCCTTTTCTCAGACACAACCTAATTTTCCACATGTGTTATCCATGCCTTGATGTAGATTTTATATAACAGTCAGTCTTGAATATGTAAAAACAATATGAAGGATACTAACATTACAAACATTATTTGGGTACAAACTACCAGAAAATTCCAAGTATGAAGTTTATAACCAATCATGCTTTATCTGGAACATCTATAATATGATAAATAATTTGTCTAGGGGTTAAATAGTAATCTAATCATCTAAACACTTCATATAGCCCTAAACACTTGACAATATACCAACCATATCAATATTGTCTTTCTTCTACATTACTCTTGATGGTCATTCTGTTTGACCCCTGGTCAGTTTATGAGAATAATATTTATTAAGAGCATATTAAATAGCTGGTATTAAGGGATATAGGTCTCTAAATAATCTGATAGAACTTAGGTGAACTCCATCCCATATCACTTTAAAGTATAACTGTGTAGATATGAGGTTCATCTAAATTTAAATAAAAAATTTGAATTAAACGTGAATATGTGTGTCCATTCAACCTTTGATTTGGTCTCTAATGGAAAATCATATAAAAAAATTCAGATCTATTTCAACTGTAAAAAAGGATACTTATGGTTCACAAGGATCCTTTGTTCAAGCTGGTCCTTTGCCAAACCTCTTCTCACTGATCTTAATTGGATTTTCTGTATTCATTTACAACTGAAATATAGAGGAAAGATGACTTTTTCAAGGTCACCAGATTTTCACACTCTGACAGAGAAAATAACCCACAACCACCATTTGTTCGGTATATCCAAGCAAATTATAACATGTCAAGATTCTAAGGCTCTAACTGACTGTGCTTGAGCTCAACCTGTATTGGCTACCAGCTATTCATCCTATTACAGATATATTACTGGTATACTTAGTTCTATTGATGAAAAAGAAAAATTAAATGACCATATCCCTTGGAGCTATTTTGTACCTGGTCAATGTATGGGAAAGACTGTTAAGTGGCTAATATTTTGTACAGTTGGAATGATTAATATTTGTAGAAGAAGTACCACACAGGATGTTAAGAAATAAACAGAATAGATGTGTCTGCTTCATATCATTTCCTGTCAAAAATTTATTAAAATCATCTCAATTGATAGATATAATACACACTGTGTTTTGCTTTCCTGCACCTGTTATATCTCTCTCCATTGAAGATTTTCATTTTGGGGGGCTGAAGTGTTTTGAGTCCTGCATTTTTCTCAATGCATTATGGAATGTTCTTTTTTTTTCCTAATTCTTAGGTCCTTGATTTTGTTCCAAAGTGAAGGCTTTTTCCCTTTTCATCAAAATGACCACAAATTGGTTCCCAAATTCTCTAGATATCTCATACCTATTTTTGAAATCATTTTAGATTCGTATAGATTCACTGGTTTTTTTTTTCAATCTTGGTTCCAGTCGTTAAAGATGAGGTATATGTCTATTTTCTTTGAATCTAGATTTACAAAACTTACAGAAAATAAAACAGTAATACAAATAATTTCAACAAAAAACAACGAAAGTCATTCTTTTTTTAAAGTTTCAACTGACCATTCCAAAAAAGCCCAAAACAAAACCAAAGGTTTTAGAGCTCCAGCAAGATATAACTTGTAGATACATCATTGATCCCTGATTGATCTTCAGATCAAAGATAAAAGCAAACTCATCCTATTCATTATCTCAGCAGGCAACAATTTCAATTCATCTATTTTGATTTATTGTATGAGGTCAG